TTTCAAATAGTGTATACAGTTAGTTATGCGATATTGCAAAACAAAACAATCGGTAGACATCGTCATCATCATCATCGGGTGCCTTGCCGACTGGCGAGGGCGATCATGCCTCTCCACAATCTGCGATCTCCTGCAGCATGCATGGTAGACATAAAAAGCCATTATATAAATGGAAAACAATACTTGCTCATGTATCCCAGTTATAACCAGGAGGGTTAAACAGGGTACTGTTGTTCACTCTTTGAGTCAAAAGGAACGCATCATATGTTCATAGGTTTCTACCTAGAAGACCAATGAACGCATGATGCTTAAATTACATTTACCATGCCTACAACAACAACAACAACAACAACAACTACTACTACTACTACTACTACTACTACTACTACTACTACTACTACTACTACTACTACTACTACTACTACTACTACTACTACTACTACTACTACTACTACTACTACTACTACTACTATCACCATCACCACCTAAATCAAAAGAGGTAGTCAGAAATATCCTGTTCAAGCCTCAGGGTTATGATTGGAATACATAGTGTTCACTTAGTTCTCAAAGTATATATTAGTTATTTTATATATTGTGTAATTCTTTATTTAAGACAAATACGCAAATTATATTGTTTCAAATACTGTATTGTATTATGAATATTAAAAAAAATTTTGCTAGCATTGTGTCATTTCATTAAAGTGGTCGATTTGTTTTAAATCATACAGGGAATATTCGCTCAACAACTATGGGGTGACCCGTTTGCTATGAAGCTGAAACTAAGATTAACGGATGACCAGATTACCAGATCCCTCGGCTTACCTGGCAATGTCAGAAAAACCTATGTGGATTGTGGCGCTAAGGAGGAGCAGAAGCAGACGGTGAGCCCCAGCCGAGACATCGTTTGAAAGTTTTATCAACTAAAATACGGTATGCGGTCTTGTTTATTATTCGCTTACCAAGTTTTCAATGTGTTAACTTTCATATTAATTTACACTTTGAGTTATTTTCTAATACAACCTGTTTCATTTTCGGTTTCCTCGGATACATTGATTACGGCGTCAGAGTTCTCAGAAGACTTGATACTTGAGTAATGTGTTTTCAGAAAGTTTAGTTGTGGTTTCCACATGGCGGCCGAGGTGGTTGTAAAAAATAGTTTGTGTGTCTTTCTTTTGCAGGACGTCACAAGCAACCCCGCTATTTGTTGGATGTTTGTTATTTTGCTAGAAACTTTTACGCTAAGAACTTTCTTATTTCATAGTCGTATCATGCATGTGTCGAATATCAACAAACACTTGAAACACAGACTAAGGCCCATACTTGCATAGAATTCGCTGTGTTGTTGAATTATGAAACTGCGGTCATGCGTAAAATATCATGCTATTTGAATATTAAGCTATTAAATTGTATTAAAACTTAAAGCGGATAACAGTCTGGTATTACAGTTTATTTTATCTATGATCAGTTATGTTTTTTTTTAAATTATGAATTCAAAATTATTAATTAAATTGCTTATCAATTATTAATTATTACTTGATATTAATTAATATTACTATTTAAATTACTGTTACTGTTACTTACTTTATCTTTATCACAAAGGTAACTACATAATTAAATTAAAATATTATTGAGATCTATAAATTTTATAATAAAAGAAAATATATTATTAGAAATCACTTGATTGTGTTTGGTAATAATAATAAATAAATATATATGATATGATATAACTATTATTAATTCACTTTATGATGAAATCCCAGTGTGACTGGCTGTGGGTTCCAGGGTACCATTGTATGGAAAACAAGAATAGGCCGGCTGTCTCGCCAACAGGCAAATCAGATGTAGGAGTTCACTAATTGGGAGGCATCCTTTGAGTGGGAGGACACCCAGATCTGTCTGTGAAACAGATGTGCACATAACATTCAGGTCCTGCAACAAGTCTGTAGGTGGACACCCAGATCTGTGTGAAACAGATGTCCACATAACATTCAGGTCCTGGAACAATTTTAGAGGTGGACACCCAGATCTGTCTGTGAAACAGATGTGCACATAACATTCAGGTCCTGGAACAAGTTTGTAGGTGGACGCCTGAAACTTTCTGCCAGAGTTTACTGCTGGCGAAGAAGACTTAATGGAAGATACGCATAAATAAAATAGTCATTATTTATTATGCAGTAAATAGGAAAATACGGCAGTTATATCAGTGATAACAAAAGAAACAAATTATACAGTAACACACAACACGCACAAAATAACTGGATAACTAAACAAAATGTTTATATGGCCGCTAATTTTTATTAGAATTAAAAAAAATTTTTTGTTTTAACAAACTAAAATAATAGTTGTTAAATTTGTTTTTATGGTGCTGTGCAATAAGCCTTATTGTGGCGTTGAAGGTATTGTCCTTGCCCAAATTAAATTTCACAGTGGCCACTGACAGAAAATTAAATTTAAACTGAAATTCTGATAGTTCAACTAATTGTTCAAAATATTCAGGCATACATTTAACGTCACATATGTTTGTACGCCCCTGAAAGTTAACAAGGTTAGTGATTGTTGTAATGTAATGATTAACAAACCAAGCATGTCACAATAATTACAGATGAACTCTACTTCTACTCATATTTTTTTTTAATAAACTGGAAGTGTAGTTTTAAAAAATAATTAAAACAGTGAAATAAACTATGTGACAAGCTAAAAATTGTGTTTATACTAATTAAACAAATGCAGTTTTTTTGTCTATATATAAAGAAAATTAGGTCAGAAAATTTCTTGTGCCATGCCTTCATTTGTGATCCAATTTCTGTATATTTTGCTGTCCTTGAGTACCATTAATAAGTGGTTTGACCTTAACTTCTTTGTGATTAACTAATAAGAAAGTAAACTGTTTTCAAGGACTAGTAGAATTAATAATAAATAATAATTTCACGTGATTCACTTTGGATTTATGTTTTTGTGGAGCAGTATTTCAAAGGTAAGAGGAATCTTTTTTTTTATTATTTTGTGTCCTGGCTAACTAGTATATCTTACAAAATATCTGAGATAAAACAGTTTTGTTTATTTATTACAAAATCCTCAAGCAGTAAGTTTGTGATGAGAAAAAACGATAATATTCTTTTCTGAAGTGTAGAAGAAGGTCAACAGAAATAATGAGTCAAGTAAGTAGTAAAAGACCGTTTTCTATGCCTTTAGGCATATAATAGGGCTAGACCTATATTTTATAGACCAATCGGCACAAAATGGGTAATGTGGTCAGCATCACGCCATACACCTCTTCCTGGGACTGCACCTGGTACTCACTTAAGGCTGGTTCTACCTGGGAGGTCATTTTTGATTAAAAAAATTGGACAGTGCTGTAAAACAGAGACTCCATACATTAAAAAACTAATTCAACTGGGAGTGAGTTGACGGTTCTGGAAGATATTCAACACTGGGAGGGAGTAGACGGTTCTGGAAGACATTCAACACTGGGAGGGAGTAGACGGTTCTGGAAGATATTCAACACTGGGAGTGAGTAGTAGACGGTTCTGGAAGACATTCAACACTGGGAGGGAGTAGACGGTTCTGGAAGACATTCAACACTGGGAGGGAGTAGTAGACGGTTCTGGAAGATATTCAATACTGGGAGGGAGTAGACGGTTCTGGAAGATATTCAACACTGGGAGGGAGTAGACGGTTCTGGAAGACATTCAACACTGGGAGGGAGTAGACGGTTCTGGAAGATATTCAACACTGGGAGTGAGTAGACGGTTCTGGAAGATATTAAACACTGGGAGGGAGTAGACGGTTTTGGAAGACATTCAACACTGGGAGGGAGTAGACGGTTCTGGAAGATATTCAACACTGGGAGGGAGTAGACGGTTCTGGAAGATATTCAACACTGGGAGGGAGTAGACGGTTCTGGAAGACATTCAACACTGGGAGGGAGTAGACGGTTCTGGAAGATATTCAACACTGGGAGGGAAACATGGGCAGACTTGTAATCAGGTTGCAGCTGGTACTGTTAGTATGTTCACTCTTTGTTGGTTACTGAGGGATGAGACGGAACACATGTGGGAATGTCCTGAGTGCTGTGATGTCAGTTCTTGATGCATTTATTCCTGTTCAACTGTTAGGTTATATTAGGGTCCCAGGCAAAAAAATAACGAAAAATTGCACTCCACAAGGGGATGCCTCACATGCCTAAACCTCCAAACTTGAAAGGAAAGTACAAGCATTGGAAATGATATTGTTTTGAATACAAGCATTGGAAATGATATTGTTTTGAAATATCATTAGTATACAAAGATCACATCAGAAGTGACGAAGATCGTTATATCACTGGTAAGGATGAATCTCTTTTAACAACAATAAAAAGATGAAAAAATGCAATGGTTCTCACATGCAGTAAGGTCTACCAGTTTCTCCAAAATGATACTACATGGCTCAATGCAGAAGACAAAGCAGGCTGGGAAAATCCCCAATAGAAAATTGGCTGCACAGACATGAGGGAAACTAATCTGACAGTCAACAGCAGCTGGTAACTCAAAAACCTGCAGTGTTACAGGACTATTCTTCTTTCTTCTTCTTCACATTCACTGGCCCTTAAATCCGGCGGAAAGTTCTGGTTGTTTCCCTACTTCTGGACTTTATAGCCTTGTCCCAGAATTTTGCACACACACACACACATGCGTTTAACAGATCTGAAAAATTATTATTAATATGCAGATTGTCGATTCCTTGTGTCTCAAGCATAATCACACTGACCTGGAAAGAAACACTCTTAATAAAATTCTACATCATGCTTATTTGGTGACGTTGGGTCTGATCTTTGTTACCCCTACATTTGGATCTCACATTCCCCACACAGGTATGATGAATGTGAGATTTTCCCTTTGGCCCTGAGCTTGTGAGTTAAACTTAAAATTATCAGGAATTACTGCTTTTCCTAATTTTGGCTAGACGTTTGAGAAAATTAATCTTGAATTTAATTTTTGTTTATTTAGCAGACAGCTTAAAGAATGAGTGATGAACCTGTGTCCGGAAGGGCAAGGGGTAGAGGTGGACGTGGTCGAGGTAAACCACAAGAGCAACAAGCACCCGGTCCGACCCAGCCACCAGCAGCACAACCCCCACGGGTAAGATTAATATTGTCTGCCTTCTTCTTCTCACCTTTATCCTCTGTTGGAGCGTAAACCAACAGTCGGCTTTGTCAGGTCACATTACTCTTTGCCATTGTTCGCAGCATGCTCCAATCCAAGGTCTCTGAATCTTGAGTTCTCCACCCTGTACCCATACCCTCGTCTCCCCTGCTTCCCCAAAAGAACTGAAAAATAGCCCCCCCCCCCCCCAGCATTTGCAAGAGGGCGAAATCTCTGTTTGTTTATACATTTCATATTATTACACGTAATATATTTGTTTGCTATTCAGCACATAGTGACAATAATTTTGCAATCCTAAACAGAGCACGAACTCTATAGCACCGGTGACAATCCCCAGAGATGTCCGTGAAAGATTGTACTTGTGAACTGAATGGCACAGCCGTGAAACAAACGCACGACCTTCAGTTCGCCACGGAGGCTAAAGACTATTGCTCTAAGGTTCATACACTTTAGTTAGCAACTGTTTGGTACTAAAAGAATAAATTCCCAAGTGGGTTTCAGGTTCCTATTGGGGGAAAAGACTACTGCCTTCTCCACACCACCCAAGTGTTGTAGAAGTCAGCTAATTAGGGATGTTTTTTTTAAAAAGAGTACACCTGCCTGAGAGACGAGGAACCAAGTCTGCATACAAATAAGCTACATGTGTGAAATGGGAGTATGCACACAGAACTCAAGTTCTGGAAATTGATTAAAGACTAGAACGACCCAGAACTTTCTATTGGAGTTCACATCTGATGTACACATAGAAGTAGATCCTGTTACAGAGCTCTACTGTTTTAGCTCAAGCTCACAGGCGGCCTCCAAGACTTGCTTTAACGCACTTACACTGTGAGTTAGAAAGTGTAACAACTGTTTGGTACTGAAAGTGTCTAAAAATTCGTATTTTTCTCACTGTTTATTGGTTATATCTAGGAAGGACCTGGACCTGGTCCTGCTCCATCTGTAGGAAGAGGAAGATCAAAGGGCCCCCCGAGACAGCAACCACCACAAGAGGCGGCAGCACCGATAGCAGCACCAGCCACTATTGTGCAAGTACCACCAGCAGAGCCTTCAGTTAGTGGTCGGGGAGTTCATCGTGGAGGTGGCAGGGAACGATCTCATGCCAGTGGTGATGTTCCAACAGAGGAGATGGCCCGAATGGGTTTGGAGAGAACTTACAAACGTAGACAGCCTTATGAAAGATACGTGGAAGCTGCTTACAAGGAGGGAGACAAGGACCCTCACGGTAATTACACTGATTTCCTTTTTTGTGTGTTGCTTCTTCTTTGCATTCGGTTTCAAATGCTTAGATAAGACCATCTGGTGGGTTGTCTCTATGAACTTGCATGTCAGTAGCAGGGGTCCTTCATGGTTCCCCATAGCTCGCTCTGCACACTAAGCTCTTGAGGCCAGGTGTCTTCTCGAAGTTGTATGTACAGTGAACAGGTCTGCAGAATGTGCTCAGGTGTTTGTGGTCCTGTTTGACAGGCACACTGTGGGGACTATACAATCTTTATTTTATGCATGTGGTAGTTGAGCCTGCCGTAGTTGCTTTCTTTTGAGTTTTCTGATTGCTTTTTGTGGATGTTTACTGTTAGTTTGTTCTCTCCACAATTCCCCTTGATACGTGTTCTGATATCTGGTAATTTTGTGTGTGTGTGAAAACATTTTATTTCTGATTGCTCATCATCATGGATGGCTTTGGTGGCCCAAATGCGGGTCGGAAGGTAGTGGGTTTGCGTCCTGGCAGAGAGGAATTTTTTCTTCAAAAATAGCCTTAACTCTCAGGTCGACCCAGGGGTGAGTGGGCACTAGATGCAGTTCTAGGAAGGAAAGGCGACCAGCGTGATGCTGACCACATCACCCACCAAGTGTTGATTGGTCTATAAAAATATAGGTCTAGCCCTGTATTTCCAATACGTCAAAAGGCGTGGTAAAGGGGCTTTTACTTTACTTCATCATCATCATGTGCTGTGCTATAATTAAGCTGTTAGTTTTACCATTTCATACTTTTAAGATTTTCATAAACATTGACTAATTAGGGGTGCTTCCTTTAATGTCGTGGTGCATCTGGTAGGGAACCAGCAATCTGCGTACAGATACACCATGTCTGTAAAACAGATGTATATGTAGAACTTGGGTTCTGGAACAAGACGTTAGTTCAAGAGTTGACATACAACCAGAGTTTACAGCAGCCGGTGAATAAGAAGAAATCAGTGGATTGATGTCAGACTGGTTAGCTCATCTCAGACATGAAAAATTCCCCGTGTGGGTTCCTGGGCCGTGTTATAAGGAAAACAAAAATAGAACCACTGTCTACTCAAAATCATGTCGTAATAGTTTTCTTCAAAGTCGGAGTGCATCTGCCTGAGAGGCAAGGAACCAACAGTTTGCACACAAATTAGTCAGATCTGTCAAACAGCTGCACACGCAACACTGCTAGTTCTGGAACAGGACTGCAGTCCAAAAGTGGACGAACAACCAGAACTTTCCGCCAGAGTCTACAACTGGTGAACGCGAAAAAGAAGAAGAAACACCATAAAAAGTCCAGCAATCCTGTGTCGGTTTGACTGATGCCACCTGAAGAAGATTGTCTAGTTATTATTGGTTGTGACAGTCCCATTATTGCCATGGTAATGCATGGCCCTGCTCTTGAAACAGAATAAACTCTGTGGGTCCTGTGTGTACCTGCGGCATGGTTAACAGGCAGTGATATGAATATAGTAACTAAAAATAGTATTGGGATGGGGGGTGTTATCTTTATGGCCCCTAGTGACTGAAAAAAGCTGAGCTGGTGTCAAATTTCCCTAAAAGCCTTACAGGGGGAGGTCGCAAGTTCATGGTGTGAATCACCCAGTTCATTTAAAAAAAAATGTTTTTATGTATAATTGTGTCTTAGTACCCCTTTTTATGTTTGTCATATTTTTTTCATTAAGGTTTTCCTAGTTCATGACCCAATTTTTTTTTCCCCCAGCAATTACAGGGCGAATGAATTAATAACTGACATTGCAGCATGTACATAGTCGTTCTCATGTGGGATGACATTTTTGGTTATTTGAAGCCCCACTCTGGCTCTTGCCAGGGACCCTGAATATGGCCTAAAGGCTGAAAGGGGTTTCTGGGACCTCTCCGCGGGTGATCCTCATTCGCATGGTGGCAGTTTGTGTCACTGGGTGTTTATTGCTTGTGTGATGTCCTGGTGGGCAACTTACATACATACATTACAGCACTTGCGACACACCCCAAATGTGCTTCATTCCTTTCCCCAGCCACTAGCACAGCTCTAATTCTCTGACATTGCCAGTCAGGTCTGGAATTACGAATGACTTGCATTTCCTCTGAGTGTTAAATGACAGTCACATCCTTTGGCAACTCCTCGCTGCAGCATTCTCATCGAGGCCTTAATGGTTTCGTTTAGCTTCTGCTATATTCTCTTGTTCCTAACAAGGCCATGACCATGTCTGCATTGTCTTGTATGAAGTGGTGGAGAAACCAGCTCATCTATCTGCTTGTTTGTTCATACAATCATGAACACGTGCAGTATCATCTCTTGTTTTACAGGGTCATATGGCTCCAAAATCGAGCTCGTCACAAACTACTTTCGAGTGACCTTGCCATCTGAGTTCAAAATCTGGCAGTATCATGTGAACTTTAACCCAGAAGTGGAAAGTATTCGAGTGAAGTATGCCCTCATTGCCAATTTGGACCTTGTCATTGGAACAGTGAAGTGTTTTGATGGCGGGATCCTGTACCTATGCAAAATGCTGCCAAATGAGGTAATTAAAATATCAATGTCTTCTAGTTTTTTTTCCTGTCCGTACTATATCCCCCAGTGGACCGTAGGCCTTCAGTCAACACTTGCAAGATTGTCATCCCATTTGAAAAGCACCATGTGTTCCCACCGTCTTTTTCATCTTGCTCTCTTATTCCCTTCTTCTTGTATTTTGTTTTGGGTGTCTGCCTTTATTTCTTTGACCCTGGTGGTCCCGGTGCAAGAACATTTTATTTATATTGCTGTATGATGTTATGAATTTGTGCCCTTACCAACTGCTGCAAAGATTATCTAATTAGGAAAAAACATGATAGGGACATTCTGTGCAGCTATAAACAAGAGAAACTGTTATTGGTTTAAGGAATGACAAAAGAGACAATGGGAAATATTGTCATGAATGGTGTGAGGTAGAGGCAGATAAATATGAATGATGCTAAAAGGTTCGGTAGGTTGGAAGAATATCAATAAAACCTTTCTAGAATAACAGGACCTAGAATTATGAAGAGATACAGCTGCTATCTGACTAGATAAAGAAGAGGAATAAAATTTAAAAAAAATATGTAAAATTACAGTACTTTTCGGCACTCCTCCGAATAACGGCCCCTTATTATTGACTGTCCAAAACATTCCTTTCAGAGCCTCACGGGGTTCAAGGGGTTACAAAGAGGTCAAGGGGTTATAAAGAGGTTATACAAAATATGGAACAATAAGTACCAATAATGCCGTGAAATAATTTCCTTTTCTCCCTTCACACAGTGGAATTTTTATAAGAAAGATAAATAAGATACACACAATATATATATATAATACACAAAGCATATTCAATCAGATTATTAAATTACAAGAAGAAGCTAAATCAGGATTTCAGAAGGAAAAAAACTGTCGGCCTGTTTCTCTAAATATCTAATGCATTTGATGTATATTGAAGAGGGCACTGCGTTATACCTGCAACAATATCATATCTACTTTTATGGGTCTAAAAATACCAAGGTGTGTAGTAGAAACGACATAGCAGAGAAGATATAGTTGGCTACAACTTATCTAAACACAAGAGGATGTTCAGTATCAATGAAGTGTGTACCACCTGCTAGTGTGGTCACTGAGAAAATGAAATGACAGACGAAAAGAAGGAAATGCAGAAAAAAAAATTCACAAAGAAAAGTGGCAACTCTGCCAATAATATTTGACAGTTATATGTTGAAATTGTGGCACAACAGTTGTAAATACTGCCCGAAAACATGTTCTTTGTGACTGTGACGCCACTGAAATTCTGCTAAATATGTATTAAACAATGCACGACTAGTGCCGCCTTGGAAACGCTGTTTCCTTTTGACTTGCATCCACAGCCCTTCAATTGTTTGGGTGTGGATGTCTCCATGTACACGGTCAACAAAATTAAAAGCATGAACAACAACGAGATCTCCATATATGCCATTGTTGAGTTGACCAACGTTGTTGTAGCCTGGCCAAGCATCGGTGACAAGTAACCAGGATGGTACTTGCGGTGGAAAAAATAGCTCTCGTCAACTTCAACAACCACTGACTGTCCTTTAGCATTAAATCCTCCCAACTGAGGGTTGCTAAGCAGCAGCCAGTTGTAACACTCTACCCGAAAATAATTGTTATAGTTGACTATAGTATCACAGCTTGTCAATCTCTCAAAAAACATCACATTTTTCAGCTTCACTTCGAACAACCAGTAAAACATTACCATCACAATTCTTTCAGTTGGGAGTTCACAATTAGCGAAGAACGAACCCGTCCGTAGACTGCAACGAGTATTACAGCGACGACATCGCCAAGAGAATCTATCGGAACATTCTAGCCTTGACACTAATGACATCCGACGGTTGCAAGACGAACAGTCTACTGAGTCGTATTATTCTGTGCATAGCAAGCCATTGCAACCACTGTAGTTTGTCATTCATTATTCTATATCATCAGGTCTGACATCTACAGCTGCCAGTTAATCAACTTGTAGAATATTATTGCTTATCTGTGTCGGAGCCGATGGTCTGCCTGCCATAATTACAAGTAGCTGCACAAATTATCAAAGTGAAACAATGAGATAACTGAACAGCAAAACGGTGCGATCTTCCTAGCAGCGATCAAAGTGTCTTACCAACCAACAGTTTATCTCAGTGGAATTTAACATTAGCTTAACAGCTGGACCAGGGAACGCATCTACGTTGAAGAATTATGCAATCTTCCAGTCGGACGGAGAGAAGACATGACCATCTGAACTTGCGGACAGGCAGGTGGCTAATTACCACGGGTTAGAGTTGAGACGTAGCGGTATTCTCAAACCAGCCGACAACTTTGATGTCCAGAGTTCAAACAGGATAGCGGGTCCAGTTGTCTAAGCAAACGAATTTCGCACATTAATGTGATACACAGTAATCTACCTAGTGATGTCTAGTGATGTTACAACATACTCGTAATCACAAGGGCGGAACTTGGACAACAGGGTAGAACATTTACGGATGCCTGTGACCTGATTGATTCTATTATACTTTCATACTGTGCCAAAAGAGAAAATCTAATCATTTTTAGAAAATAAAAATTTCAAAAATGGAAATATTTGAACTTCTGCATGTAAACAGTGAAAGTAGGTGCAAACATTAGTTAAGCAATATATAAGTAACCTGCAGTCTTCATCTTTTATCATCTTACCAAAAGTAAATCTATATCGATAAACGCCTTTTCCCTTCTCCCGAAGATACTCAGTCAGCTCAATATATTTCATGAGTCATTATTAGGCTGTATCTGTTTAACCAGGGACTATTACAACCAACCAGCAATCGACTTCTGTAACAATAATAACCACGTATTGATGCCCTTCCAAGTAGCGACAAGTCACACAAAGACATTTTTTGTGGGTTCCGAGGAGAAAAAAAAAGAATTGATCCACTGCTACCTGAAAAGAATGTTGTAAAAGGCAACTAATTAGGACTGCTGAAATCAGATGTGTTGGGGCGAAAGGCGCAGATATCGCAACCTAGCACGAAAGGCGCAGATATAGCAGCGTATCTGTAAACCACAATACACTATGCCAACCGCCATTTCAAGGGCGAACAAAAAAAAGATTAGCTGCCCGTGACATGAACATTTCGCCGCCGCTATCGCAGCCTAGCTGTTAACCACAAGACCGAGCGAAGGGCGCAAATATCGCAGCATAGTTGTAACCGCAACACAATGTGCAAACCACCCTTTTAAAAGCAAAAAAAAACTAAATTTGCCTCGGCTATCGAAACCTATCTGTTAACCACAAGCTATCGCAACCTAGCTGTTAACCACAATACCGAGCGAAAGGCGCAGATATCGCAGCCTGGTTGTAAACCACAACACAACGTGAAAACCACCCTTTCAACCTAGCCGTTGACCACAATACCGGGCGAAAGGCGCAGATATCGCAGCCCGGTTGTAAACCACAACATAACGTGCAAACCACCCTAGACCGAGCAAAAGGCGCAGATTCGCAGCCTAAAAGCAGGTAGCTGTAGCGAAGCAGATATCGTAGCCTAGTTGTAACTACAAAACGTCTAAACCACCCTTTTGAAAGTAAAAAAAAATTTGCCGGCGCTATCGCAACCTAGCTATTAACCACAAGACCGAGTCAAGGCACAGATATCGCAGCCTAGTTGTTAACCACAACACAACGTGCAAACCACCCTTTTGAAGAAAAAAAAAAGAAAAATGTTTTTGCCTGCCGGAGAATCGAACCCCGATCACCAGCGTAACAAGCAGACTGCTTATCAACTATACTAGCGAAAACGTTCAAACGAAATTATATAATAAAAAAAAAGCATAGTTCGTAGTTTTTCCTGTTCCATATTTTTAACTACATGACCTCTCAAGTCCCTAACTACGACCTCTTGAGGCCCTGAATGGGATTTTTTGTCTTTGAATAATAAGGGACCGTTATTCGGAAGAGTGCCTACTTTTCTTTTGCTGCGTGAGGTGTGGCTGGTCGAATGGTATGGTCACTGAGCTCTCATGCAGAGACTTAGGTTTGAGTCATCTGTAACGTGGCGGGGTCGTAAAACATCCTAGCCTACGCAGTTCGTGTCAATGGCACTAGCCATGCAAGCCTAAATCTCACAACCTCCCCCTTTTCCCCTGCAGAGTGATAACGCAGACAGTAGAGCTAAGACAGTTTTAATGCCTATTTGTTTACATATTTATTTAATTTAGACATTACTTATTATTTCTGCTAGATACATTTGTTTTAAAAGCTTTGTTAGTTTACTTCCGTATTTATGAAATTATGCATCTGCATTCCCAATTTTCTTCCCAATGTTCACATCTGTATTCCCTCATTTCTTCTGTATTCATTGCATCTGTATTACTTCTATGTTTATTACATCTGTATTCCCCCATTTTTTTAAAATAATTATTGCATCTGTATTGTCAATTTTCTTTCTATTAGATCTATATTCCAATTTTCTTCCTGTTTTGTTGCATCTTTATTCTCACTGTTTTTCCATGTTTATTACATCTGTATTCTCAGGTGACTGAATGCTTTGCAACTCGATCCTATGATAATGCAGTTATCAAAATTGAAATCAAAAGGGTTGCAGAAGTTTTTTCCACTTCACCACAGTTTATTCAGATCGTCAACCTGCTCTTTAAGAAGTAAGTGTGTGTATGGTCTTGTAGAACAAAAGGCCTGGAAAATAAGTACCAGCTACCCCTGTGGGTTCAGGGGCATCATTGCGGGGAGAACAAGAATAGACTCACCGCCTCCCCAACAGGCATGTCGTAGGATTTGACTAATTGGGGGTACCCTTTGAGGTCAGAGTACATCTGCCTGAGAGGCAAGGAACCAGGAGTCTGCATACATAATTAGCCATATGTGTGAAATGGATGTGCACGCAACACGCTGGTTCTGAAACAAGACTAAAGCCCAGAAAGGGATGAACACCCAGATGTTTACAGCCGGTGAATAATAATAAGAAGCTCCTATGAAACTGATTACTTTGGCTTTTTTAAATGGCGGTACTACATTCTGCTGTAGGGAGGCATGAGAATTGTCATCATCGGCGACCGAGTTGTTCATTAGCTGGCTGGACAGTATTTGGGTCTGTCTCCTTTGATTGCATCAACACTGCAAGAGTCCTTTTCAGGGCTAATCGATGGCAAGTGGTGTTAAGCCATTTTATATGACGCAAATAACCTAAGTCGCAATTATAACCAAAAGCTTCCCCTTCAGGGATACTGATTGAACGTGACAGTTTAAAAAAAAAAATTCCTAGCAAATCAAGGAAGAGGGGCATGGGGAATTGCAGGCTGTGAGAAATTAGTTAGATTCTAAATGACCATAGAAGAAATCCTGGGCACTATTGAGACCGCATGAAACCCATGCTGCATAGATCTTTCGGCCTGCCTTGTTTACTCCAGAGGAAAGGAAACATCAAAATGGTTGGAATAAAACATTAAACAGAAGAGTACTATGTCTGGATGTGTGAGTGTCCCTCCTAGACCAGCTGCCGACAGAGGCTAAGAGTCCGGCCTATAATAACATTGAGTTTTCAGGTTGCAGTCACTCTTCCTAGATAAAGCTTGTCCCCTGCCTGAAGGCGACACAGTGTTGAATATCATATTTGTTACACTCTGCCCAGCATGTGGCATTAGTAGAGCATGAAGTAGTACTGACTTATACACTTAGTTCAGCCATATCTCAACCAGGTTAATAAAGAACAGTTTATACTGACCGCTTTATATGGTTTAGTCATCTTCCTCAGCATTCCAAGCCCTTGAAGGTCACTGCTGAAGATATCTCCCCCATCCTTTCATTTCTGCAATTAGCCCTCTCTTTTCAGTTGGTGACTCCTAGTGTTTGCAGATCTGCTTGTAAATTATCTCTCTACATGTTGAGTTGAGTCAAGAATTGACATCACATCACTTGGAGCATTCCCGTGTGTGTTCCATCCTCATCTTCAGCAGCCAGTACAGAGTTCAGATACTCATGGTACCTGTCACAATCTGATTATGTGTCCGTCTTGCCTATCTTTTGAGTGTAGTGAGCCAGCCAGACCCTCTGGTTACACCCATGTGCCTCATTCTCTCCAGGCCATAATAATCTTGTTTCTCTACTGATGAATGGTCTACATTCATGCAACTCCCTGAGTACACAGCTTTTACCTCTCTGTCATCCTGCATTCTCTCATTATGCCTCAGCCATTTCAGTCTTTTAGCCATCATAAAAGTGAGTAAATTCGTGATTTTGTTTACAGCGTATGAATAAACATGAAATATACAGGCTTGTGTAATAAGCACGCCAGGTATATTTTCCTCTGGCTAAATTTATGGTTTTGTATACATCGTTTGAATAAACATGAAATTATATGTTCTTGTGTAATAAGCACACCAGAGATATATTTTCCTCTGGCCAAATTTATGGTTTTGTATACATCGCTTGAATAAACATGAAATATATGTTCTTGTGTAATAAGCACGCCAGAGGTATATTTTCCTCTGATACTGTCCAAACCGTTTATTAATTTCCTTGCTTTTCAGAGTTCAGATGGCGATGGGAATGAAGTTGATTCGAGACCACTATTTTAATCCAACCCAGGCTGTGAAAATCCTGAAACACAAGTATGTATTAATTTTGAAAAAAAAGAAAGAAGTTAACAGATAGTTGCTAGCATGGTTTTATGTTCTAGGCAGATGGTAATATTTCTTGCTACCAGACAATAGTGTTGAGTTACATGGAGGTAAAGGACTGTTGCGCCAAGAACTGATATCACAGCACTCAAGGACATTCCTAAAACACCCTGTCCTCATCTTCAGAAGCCAGTGACGGGCTCCGGATCCAGTGGTGCCAGTAGCAGTTTGCTTCTATGCCCTTCTTGCATTTCCTCTTGAGTGTAGTGTCTGCCAGATCTTTTGGTTACTGTTAGCTGTACGATTCTCTCCAGACCATAATGGTTAGTTCGTGCCTCTGCAGAGTTCACTTGCTCCCAAAAGGTCTTGACCACATTTAGCTTGCTATGCATAAATTCACCACCTAGTGGTGCACATCCATTTAGTCTGTCTGCCTGTTCATTTGCTTTCACTCCTGCATACCCTGTAGAAAATATCCAAAGAACACTAGCTTTATGGGATCTCGAAGCAATGCTTGCCACTCTGCCCGAAACATGCCTGTCTCCACCTTTCTTAACATGCTTTGTGAGTGGGTTACAATCAGCACGTGTGTATATAGCTGGGTTTTAAGCCAGCGGAAAGCTGCTGTGACTGCTCCACTTCTATGCTCAGACCAGACATTGTAGTATCATACACTAGATTTCATTCCACTAAACGCCATCCATTCGCTTTCGCGATGAACCACCACCACCACCCCCCGGGCCCTTCTGCTGCCAGTCAAAACAGCCACCTGGACTATACAGACTATGCATCTGTATACATCACCTGGACAGAAATTGTAATGAATCAGTTATTGAGTTTCTGATTCTGCAGTGCCTTTCTTGTAAATCCCAGCCGTTCCAAGCCAAGTTTGATTCTTGCTGTGACACTTTGACCCACCCCTCTCCTCTCCCAATGTTTTTCCTAGCACACACATCTCTTAATATGTCTTTTGCTTGTGCCATCGAAGACCTCCCTGTAATCAACCTGTGACCCTTAGCTATATCTAGGGCTTCATGAAGAAGGTAGTTTTTGCCAGCAGCTGTCCTGAGATACAATCTGGCTAGTAGCACCATGTGCCTGGCTGCAGTAATCCTTAGTGCAAGGATGCATTATCCTGTACAGATCACTGGGGTGTTTCTAGTACAGCCTAGAATCACTGGCATGACTTTATTCTGCATTCGTTTGAGAGTCACTAGCAGACTCTTCGATGCACTGAGCAGCCCCCATCCATAATCCATCACAGAAATAACAAAGTGCTAGTACATTGTGAACATAATTTTTTGCCTCATGATCATTGCTGCCATAATTTTCAGTGCATTGAGCCGCATTATTTAAAGGTACAGATCCCCCATGTGGGTTCTAGAGTCCCAAGTTGGGTCCCAAACAATGGCGTTTTCTAAATAAGTCAGAATGCATCTGCCTAAAGGGTGGTGAACCAACAGCCTTCATACAAATAAACCAAATGTGCATGTAAAACTCAAGTTCTGGAACAAGACGAGGTGCTTTATTAATATCTTACCCCAAACAGGGGAAATCCACAGGTCATGGGACAGTCTAATATTTCAGGGGGTAGTAAATAGGTTGCATGTAGTCATGGGACCTAGGCCGCATTCATTCCTAGGCTGCAATCTCTCGAGGGACGTACGTGGGTTATTGTTAGGCCCAGTTCTAGATGGTCTGGAGTCGTTAAAAGCATCTAAAAGCCAGGAAACCCAGTCTTACCACCCTCTAAAATGTTTGACTGTCAGGGGGTAGAATATTAATAAAGAACCCAAGACTACAATTCAGAAGTAGGGGAACTTTCCGCTGGAGTTTACAGCTACTGAATGCTAAAAAAAAAAAAGGGGGGGGGGGAATAACAAGTACAGACATCAAGAGTTGTATGTTTAAATTGTTTCCACGATCTGTCTGTTTTCATGTTAAAGTGACTTGTTCATTGTGTTTTATCACAGGCTGGAAGTCATGCCAGGATTTTCCACATCTATTCTGAGATATGAGGCCGGAAATCTACTAGGAGTTGATATTGTTCATAAGATTCTCAGAATAGATACTTTCTTGGACTGCCTGTACAACCTCTACTACTCCGTGGGCCAGCAAGATATGCAGATTTTCCGTGCGGCTGCAGTCAAGCAATTTGTGGGCACTATTGTTATGACAAGGTCAGTCATCTAGTTTTTAATTCCAATTGATACTTGTTTCTGTAAATCATTGTTCTGTATGGGATTTTGGGGGGAGAGGGGGTGGGGGGGAATTGTCACACTGCTGCTCGGCAACCATGTTGTAAAAGTTGACTCATGGATTTGCTGAAATTAAATGCATGGGCAAAAAGGTGCAGATATCACAGCCTAGCTGTAAACCACAGCACAATATGCCAACCACCAAGGGCGGACACAGAAGTGGCTTTTATAAAGTGGTGTGTTGTAATGTTCCTTTTGCCCCAAGTAACTCTTTCAGCAACTCCATATCCCCCTAAAAGCCGCTTTCCCGACTCTTTAAAAATGACTTTATTTCTAGAAATTCTCATGTATTTTCCTACTGGCTGCAGGTCAAGTAAGCGTCACACTAAAATTAGTTTACAGGCCTCATAAGATGTAAGCTGATTGATTCTTTGTTTCTTTTAATAAAAAATATAAATTTGATTTTCATCTTTTCGTTCGCCCATTTTTATTGATCAGAAACCTTATTCTGCATAGTATTTTTCATGTTTTGGTGACATGTGTAAATGGTTATTTAATCACAATTTTGTGTCTGTTTGGGAATGTGTGAGAAATTAAAAGAGAGGCCCTCGTTTTTTGGCTCATCAGCCGCAGGTTTCATTGTGAATTTTCTGAATTTGTTCACATTTAACCACACAAAGGAAATCCAAACACATGGGAACAGACATTTGCAATGACTAACAATGAGGTTTGACCATGATTGGTTGGTTATTTTTAGTGTGTGACACATTTTTTCACGTAGTAAGCAAAGTACCGAAAATTAGGTAGAGCAGTTTAGCGACAAATTAGGAAATTCCCAGAAAAGCGGTGTAACGGTCTGGTAGGGTTAATGCAAATCATGTGAATTTGCACCAATGCACACAATACAACCAAACGGCAACACTTGTAAAAACACACAAAATACTTGCAAACATCATTACACTGAACACACCATAAAAAAAATACTTTCAAGTGGTGTGCAAAAAAAAAGGGTGGGAGGCATAGTGTTGACCACATCACCCATTGAGGGCAGATTGATCGGTGCTTTATTATTATCCTACCCCAAACAGGGAAAATCCAAAAGTCACGGGACAGTATTTTAGGGGGTGGTAGTTAGACTGCATGCAGTCGTAAGACCTAGGCTTCATTATCTTGTGGGATGTAGGTGGGTTGGGGTTAGGGCCAGTTCTATATAATTTGGGGGTCAATAAAAGCATCAGAAAGCTGGAAAACGCAGTCTTACCACCCTCTAAAATGTTGGACTGTCCTGTGAGGTCATCTGGGGTAGGATATTAATAAAGCACCGATTGATCAATAAAAATATGAGTCTAGCAGCATATGCCGTGATACCGATGTATCTGTACAGAGACTTGGCATAAATTTCACATTTTGCAGGCAATGTTTTTACCAGATTGTGCTACAGAAATGTGGACTGATTATATCATAACCTGTTATTTACTATTGCAGACATAACAACAAAACATATCGTGTTGACGATATTGACTGGGAAGGCCGCCCTACCAACACTTTTGAAAAGGGAGGAACTCCGATGACCTACATTGATTACTTTAAAGAGGTAACAGCTACTATATTTGTGTTTGTCATGGTTTGTATTCCGCCTATGGAATAGAATGGGATCTGCCGTTTAGACGCTCACCTGCAGATCATAAGGTTGTGGAGCCGGATGTTAAAAGAAAAAAGGCCTAGGCTGCTATGTTGATCAAGCTTTAAATTCGTACCAGGTAGAGTCCTGGGAAGTAAAGGCAGCTCGCATAATGTTGACCAACCAGAGCCTCACTCCAAAACAACTAATAGGACGTGACCAATTAGGGGTTTTCAAGTTAGAGTCCGAAAGGCAAGAAACCAACAGTTATCATACAAATAAGTCAGATCTTTTAAAAAAAAAAAGGTGTGCATACAAAACCCAGGTTCTGGATCCAGAGCAAAGTCCAAGATAAATTGCACAACCATAACTTTGTGCCAGAGTTTTCAGGTAGCAGATGAAAAGAGATGAATGCTGCCACCTTGCAGATGGACTTGGGACCTGTCAGATGGTCTCTGTGGCAAAGTGGTCAGACCTTTTACCTTACATATCACAGAGATCCTGCCTACTCACCAGGCGGCTAGCTTTTCTTAAAAATGAGACTGAGCCATATTGAATAAAACCTGATGCAGTAAAGTCGATCTTGGCGCTAAACTTTGTGGACATTTATAGATTTGAAAGCAAACCAAAATGAAATGTTTGCAAAATTGAATATGTCATATTATGCTTGGTTAATAATAATACCTATTAGAGTGTAGCACAATTGATTAATAATTACACCACTTTACATACGGTTTTGAATGTTAACTACTTTTTTTTCTGGGAACAATCTTGAGTTTTTTCTCTATAACTTTTTATTTTAATTTTTTAGACAATGTCTCTTTAAGTTCTCTTTATCTTTGTATACATTGCTCTAGTAAAGCTGCTTGTGAGTTCATCTTTGTGTGTTTTTGTCAAGCGCTGGAACATTACAGTTGTGGATCAGGACCAGCCACTCCTGGTAGTCAAGCCAACAGAAAGAGATCGGAGAAGGGGGGAGATCAGAAGAACCTTTATCTGCTTCCAGAGTTGTGCACCATTACAGGTTGGTCACTTTTAATTAGAAGGAGAAATCCGGTGTGCATGAGGATGATAAAGGTTGGAGGGGAAAAGAGGAGGGGAAGGCGAGAATGAGAAGATGCTCAACAGTTTGACATCCAAATGGAAAATCATTAGTGTCAGAATTGCCCGAAAGTACAGTAAGAAGAAAGGCTGTAGATAAGGCATGACTCCCAATGCACAGTGGCATTAATTTTATTTATTTTAGTTTGAGGATATAAATCAGTGTTGAAGTTAGAGATTGAAAAATGGGTTTGAGGAAGATGTCTAGGACCGGTTATTAGGAAATTTAACAAATCTTGATGATTTATGTACACTCCACACGTCCTTGGGGAGATTATCAATCTAACCTGCACGGCAAGCAGTTAACATCCTTTGGATATTTTCTCTAGGTCATGCCGGTGTGTTGGGAAATGAGCTGGCAGATGGACTGGCCGGTTCTGCACCACTTGGTGGTGAATTGATATATGACAAGCTGGATGTTATGAGCGCCCTTTGGTGAACAGTGCCGAGGCACAGGTAGATCAATAAGGTCTGAGGAGAATGGCACTTAGAGGAGTTACAAGGGGATTTGGCCGACGCTGGGGCACAGGTAGATCAGTAAGGTCTGAGAAGAATGGCACTTAGAGGAGTTACAAGGGGATCTGGCCGACGCTGGGGCACAGGTAGATCAATAAGGTCTGAGAAGAATGGCACTTAGAGGAGATACAAGGGGATCTGGCCGACGCTGGACACTTTTGTTAGACTGATCGATAAAGGCTTTCATTTAAATGTTCAGGTTGTTTGTCTGTTTCCCTGGAGCATCTTGGTTGTAGTTCAGTGTATTCGGTTTTAAGGTTAGATGAAGAGCAGAAAGGAAAGATTAGTTTAATTTGTGTGTGTGGCTTTGTATTACAGGTCTCAGTGAAGAGGTCAGGTCTGATTTCAACGTGATGAAAGACTTAGCCATTCATACTCGAATTGGTCCAGATGGGAGGCTCAAGACACTGGAGGATTTTCTGAAACAAATAAATGCGTGAGTTTGTGTTTGCACTATTTTGAAGCTCCCTCGTAACTTATCAAGAAATTTAAACAACATATTTGTTTGGCCTTCTTTCTTTTTTGATTCCAAAAGCATGTTGTATTTAGATGGATTTTTTCCTTTAATATCCAGAAACCATGATTTGTTAACCCTTTAGCTCAGTTCCAGCGCCCACTGTGGGGATGATGTCCTAGTGTGGGTTAGATTGATAATTTTCCTGTGTGGGTTTCAGCGCCCACTGTGGGGATGATGAGAATAGACCCACTGCTTTCCCCATTGTAGGAGTCAGCTAAGTGGGGGCTTCCTTCAGAGTCTGAGTGCTTCTGCCTTACTGTGAGTGCAACGGCAAGGAACAACTAACTGCACACAAATACGCCGGTAAAACAGATGTACACGCAAAACTCAGGCCCTGTCACAAAGCCACCAAAGTCCAGATGGACAGACAACCAGGACTTTCCACCAGATCTTACAGCTGGTTAACAAAGAAGAAGATGAAGATTAATAAATAACAGAATTTTCTAATTTCAAGTAACTTAGGATGTGGTCTTCCTAAATTAACCGATTTATTTTTATATTTTTCTCATGTTTTTTTTGGTCCCATGTTGACACCCCCCCCCCCCCCCCCCCCCTTTTTCTCTCCCCAACAAGCTTTGTTGTCTTGTTAGTTGAGTTTTCTAGACACACTTTGTATTGATGGATAATTTGTTGAAATGTTATGTTGTATTTGTGCTTGTTGTTTCCATTCTCTCCACAGTTTGTACTATACGAAGTACTTTCCTCAAAGTAGCTTGGGATTGTGAAGCTTCCTTTTGAAGCCAGAGTTCATCTGCCTGAGAGACAGGCAACCAACAGTCTGCAGACACATAGGTCAGATCGGTAAGACAGATAAGGAGCAGACAACACTCAGGTTCTGGAACATGACTAAAGTACCGAGATAGACAAATAACCAAAAACTTTCTGCTGGAGTTTACAGCCAGTGAACGCAAAGATAAAGAAGCAGCTAACAAGGTTGACACCTGCACGTTGTTAATTTGTGAGAATTGGATACAATTCTTCTAGAGGACAGTGTGTACAAATAATCATAAAATCAACTATTTATTGTCATTATGAATGATTTATTATTGTGAGGGAAATTAAAAGATAAAAGAATATTTTAATTTCTAGGAGTCAGAGAGTGAAGGAGATTTTGAGTCCCTGGCAAACTCAGTTAGATAGTAAGGCTTTAACCATTCCAGCCAGACAGTTTCCAGCAGAGCAGTTGCTGATGAAGAACCCAAAGGTTAGTCTTGTCTTTGTTTTTTTGTACTAATATATTCACTCTGCTGTTTAGAAGCAGTTTTGCATGTATGTTCCGTGATTCACTTGTCGCACGTATGTTCTGTGATTCTCTTGGGACATGTATGTTCTGTGATGCTCTTGTTGCACTTATGTTCCGTGATTCTCTTGTCGCACGTATGTTCCGTGATTTTCTTGTCGCACGTATGTTCTGTGATTCTCTTGTCGCACGTATGTTCTGTGATTATCTTGTTGCACGTATGTTCCGTGATTTTCTTGTTGCACGTATGTTCCGTGATTCTCTTGTCGCACATATGTTCCGTGATTCTCTTGTCGCACGTATGTTTCTTGATTCTCTTGTTGCACGTATGTTCCATGATTCTCTTGTTGCACATATGTTCCATGATTCTCGTGTTGCACGTATGTTTCTTGATTCTCTTGTTGCACGTATGTTCCATGATTCTCTTGTTGCACGTATGTTCCATGATTCTCTTGTTGCACATATGTTCCATGATTCTCTTGTTGTTCGTATGTTCCATGATTCTCTTGTTGCACATATGTTCCATGATTCTCTTGTTGCACGTATGTTCCATGATTCTCTTGTTGCACGTATGTTCCGTGATTCTCTTGTTGCACATATGTTCCATGATTCTCGTGTTGCACGTATGTTTCTTGATTCTCTTGTTGCACGTATGTTCCATGATTCTCTTGTTGCACGTATGTTCCATGATTCTCTTGTTGCACGTATGTTCCATGATTCTCTTGTTGCACGTATGTTCCATGATTCTCTTGTTGCACGTATGTTCCATGATTCTCTTGTTGCACGTATGTTCCATGATTCTCTTGTTGCACGTATGTTCCGTGATTCTCGTGTTGCACGTATGTTTCTTGATTCTTTTAAGGGGGAATAGAAGATTTCACCCTTCTGCCGAATAAAAATGTTTAAAACCTGGCCGCTCTCCTAATTTTGTTTCTTCTTCTTCGCATTCACCAGCTGTAAACTCCAGAGGAAAATTCTGGTTGTTCGTCCACTTCTAGACTCAAGTGTTTTTATTATGAGAAAAGTAAGAAAAAAAAGTTTTAACGCAGGAAAGAGAGGTTAAAGTTATGAGAATCACCGTCATTGCACAGAATTTTAACCCGAGTGGCTCTCATCTCTGTGTAGAACAACTAGCCGTCTGCCGAGAATGGCATACAAAGCGTAAACTCTATAGCTTCGACAATGATCACCAGGGATCTGCGCAAAAATTGCACTTTGAACCGAACGGTGTGCCTGTGAAATGAACCTACGGCCTTCAAATCATCAAGCAAACGTTTATGGCAACTCCGACACAGAGACCTTTGCAACAACAGGGTAGATTTAGGAAGAGCAAGAACTGAGTGATCCTTTATGATTTTGTCAATTTCCATGTTTTTAAGTAGGACTTAAATATTTTACTTATTTCTTTTATTTGCTCTAGCAACACTTTTCAGTCAAAGTCTCTTTCAAACCTCTAAATATGATTGTTTTTGTTTCCCTGTAGCAGAAATCATTTTTCTATATCTCCACATCCCCAGAGCCTCAGTTCCACTTTCAAATTGTTTGGTCATTGTTTTAGATAGATCACCTTAATCTTACCCGGCCTTGAGTGGTACCGGGTGCAGTCCCGGGAAGTAAAGGAGGACTGCGTGATGCTGACCACATCACCCATCTTGTGCCGATATGTCTATAAAATATAGGTCTAGCCCTATACGCCTAATTGCGTGGAAAAGGGTCCTTTACCTTACCTTAGTCTGAGGACACTGGTGCTGCGGAATTAAAACTCAGAGCTTACTTTTGAAAATGAGGACAGACCGCTTATGGAAATGTGACCTGGATTCAGAATTCAGTTATTTGGCATCCCCATTGCCATGTTTATTATAAACTTATGTTTCAGGGAGATTTGGCCAAAATAACCTACGACATAAAAGATGCTGATTGGAGCCGGAACATGAGAAACTACAAACTCCTGAATGCCGTCAACATACAGCAGTGGCTGTTGATCTACCCGCAGAAGTTGTCTCAACCAGCAAATGATCTGGCAGATTGCCTGAACCGTGTGGGTGCTGGAATGGGAATGAGGATTGCTGAGCCAACCAGGTCTGTTCAAGACATTTATGCCATTGATGTGCTACTATATGTTGTTGTCAGTAATGTGAGGAGTGTAAGGCATATGCCGTGTGGGTTAACTACCTAAAGATACCTGAACCACCATTACCACCATCATCATAAACCACTTACACTGTTGAGCATCTTGGGAAGGATTGATTTTTGGCCCATTGCCCGTTGCCTGTGGCTATTATCATGCCATTAAGATGTTACGTGTATTTCATGTTGTTAATTCATCTTTTTCATGGCCGCCTTCTTGCTGTTAAAGCTGATGTTCAGGGATGTAGTGTCTGCACTGGTATTTGATGTTGCTGCTGCATACTACAAACCACTTACTTGATCTGCTGTTTCTGAATGATTCTAGTTCAAGATATTGTTCCCACAGTCTGTCTGATAGTGGTATCAATGTTCACTCACCTTTCTCAGGCATCTCGCAGGTGGTGATTTTGCATATATGGGATTTAGATAATGTCCATGTTTGGCACTGGTAGCTCACTGTTGGTATGAATACCGAAACCAGTGAGCTTAAAATCAGTTCCGAATCAGAAAAAAAAGGAGCTTTCAAAAAAAGTTAATCATTTGATTACTTCTTTAATCATGTCTTAGACATTTCTGATTTATTGCGTTATAGTGCAAGTTATTGCTTTTCTCAAAGAAACACTTGAGAAATAAGTAATTTGAGGCAAGTGATAATATTTAATCCAGGCTGTTGAGTGTTATTTAACTCTTATTTTGCAGGGTGGAGTTGCACAATGATAGAAATGATTCATTCCTGAATGCCATTAGACAGAATCTGAACCAGAATGTTCAGATTGTCGTGACAGTTGCACCCAACAATAAAAAGGACAGATATGATGCAATCAAGAAAAGCTGCTGCATTGAAAATCCAGGTATGTAGCCATATCCATGTAATATTTTTCTTGCACTGACATCTGTGTTTAGCTTATTTTAGTACAAGGGGGAAGTTTCATAGGAGATTCCAGCAAGGAATGTTGAATTAAGAATCAACATCACAGCCCTCGGGTCACTCCCATAAGTGCTCAGTTTCCATCTTTAGCAGCAAGCGAAGAGTTCCAGTTCTGATTGTACCAGTAACCGTCTGATTGTATATCCGCTCATCCTTCCCCTGAGTGTTGAGTGTCGGCCAGATCCCCTGGTAACTCCTCACAGCGCCATTATCCTCAGACCGTAATGATCCGCCTGCGCCTCTGCAGTGTTCACCCGCTCCCAAAGGGCCCTCACAATATCTAACTTGTCATGCATCAGCTTCACCACCAAGTGGTGCAGAGAAAGTCAGTCTATCTGCTTGCTCATTTCCCAACACACCGGCATAACCTGAAAAAAAAAAATATCCAAAGAATGCTTACAACCTACCCGGGACCTCCGAAGTGATGCTTGCCACTCAGCAAGGAAAAATCTGTGATAAAAATTTATCAGTGCATTACTTTGGGAACAGTATTATAACATTAATCAAATGGTTTGGCCATCTGTCAGAAGGAACCAAATCAGCCAGCAGCTAGAGCGTTCTACAGGAGAACAGCAGCCTACAAGGTCAACTCAGCCTGATACGGGTGAAGGGAGTAAAAGAGACAGTACAAAAGCACAGTATACACAAGCTACACAGCTTGCAACTGACAGGATACTACATGTAACTCCCTCTCTTCGACACTTAGTAGCATAAGCAGTAGCACGCCAGAAGAAGAAGAAGAGGAATATAACATTCGTGACCATTGAATAAACCAGATTTCTTGAGTGTGTTCTGACCAAATACAGAAAGTAAGAACATATTAAGCTATTGATGGGATTCAACAGATTCAGCGGGATTCGTACATCATGCATTTATTTTTATGTTTATGAGTACCCTTTGTCTGAATCTATCTGGGACGTTTGACTGAGTTTGCACATAATAATTTTACAGTGGCTGAACTTATATCAAAGTCAAGAATTATCACTTACATAATTTACATTGACTGTAAAAAATTGTATATAGAGTAGTAAAGTATTTTTGAAAAAAGAAAATGCTGTTGTACCCTCTCCTTATTGTATGTTGAAAATTGTCTCCACTAGTCTTTGTGAATATTTCTTGATGAGGCCTCAACCATTTCCATGATGTAACTCTTGCGCTACTGCCTGAAAGCCATGCCAACAATCATTGTCTAAACAGCCTGCAATGGGAATTTCACCCTGATGCATAAGGTGATTTGTGAAGTAAATTATCTACACTTCTTTTTCTTCTCTTCCACCATTTACATCAGCGAGGTGTTGGGGGGAGATGTAAGGATCGTTTGTGTGTTTTTTTCCAATGCATTGTACAAGTTAGTGTTTATTTCTGTTAAGTTGCTCCTGATGATGTCGCTCCATATCTTGCGTGGTCTTCCCCTTGTTCTGTGTTCATTGTTTCTTCAGCATGGCTGTCTGTGGCAGTTGGTACCAGGGCATTCTCGTCAAGTGGCCAAACCATATTATCTACACTAATGACATATATTCTTTAGTGCCGTAGAGACTTTGTTAACTATTGAGGTTTCTGTGATGATTGTTTCTTCATTTGTGGACACAGTTCCCAGCCAGGTGGTCTTACAGAAGACCCTGATGAAAAAGCAGGGCCTGATGAGTGTTGCCACGAAGATTGCCATCCAGATGAACTGCAAGATGGGAGGCGAGGTTTGGGGAGTTGAAATCCCTGTAAGTAGACATTACAATTTTATTTCTGCTGTAATTTTCATTTTCTCTTCCTTCTTCTCCCTGCCTGCTTCCTCCTCCTTTTTTCTTCTTTCTCCCTTTCCTTTATTTATTCTTACTCTTCCCGGTATTTATCTTCCTTTTACTCTCTTTTTACTCTTCCAGGGAATAATAGCCACTCAGCCCACTCATACCACTTACTTGAAAAATTTTGTTTATTATTTATTTTTAATGGAATTGGGGGGACCATTCCCATGTCAGCCCTTTAGTTTGGGTTTGAGCCACAAAGTTACATACTCTTTGAGGTCACCGATCACAGTTATCAGTGTTGTGTCTTAAGCTACAAAGTTACATGCTGTTCAAGTTTTGACACCAGTTTTAGTTTATTTTAATCCCCAAAGTTAGACTTTGAAGTCATAATAAAAAAAAAGCAAGGGTTCATACTGTGAGTTTTAAGACCAAGTATAGTTAAAAGTACTGTTTGATTGTTAGCAGTAAAGTTTGTGTTGACTGCAAGCATGGTTGCATTTTGGGTTTGGGTATGAAACAGATATAAACACTGTTGTTTGAATTATAGGTATCAGCAGTATAGAATTAGATAGTTGGACAGATTATCCTCACAGAACAGCGACCCACTCAGTCTATGGCTGCTCGAAACACTTGGTATATCTATCACCACTAGTTCTGCATTGTTTTTTATTCTTATTTCAGTCTTGTTATCTGACCCTACCCCTTTTGACCTTCTAAGTACAGTCATTAAAAAGTACAAATGAAGGACCCTTTTTTCATGCCTTCAGGCACATAGAGCTAGACCCCTATTGTATAGACCAATCGGCACTTGGTGGGTAATGTGGTCAGCATCACATCAGCTGCCTTTACTTCCCAGAACTATGCCTGGTACCCACTTAAGGGTCATTTTTGGAATTAACCAAAGATCCTGCTCGGTCAGGACCCGAACCCACAACCTTCCAATTCACAGGCAAGTGTCTAGCGGCTACGCCACAGGGGCTGCGGCTAAGTACATATAAAGTTTATTGTTACATGAAAAATGTTTTATGTGCGTTCATTTCACAGGAAAGTTTACTGTTAAACTACATTTACAGGTGAAAGGTTTGATGATTGTGGGCATTGACTCATATCACGACTCTGCCAACAAAGGACAGTCCGTTGGAGCTCTTGTAGCATCCTTGAACAAAGAGTGTACACGATACTACAGCATGACAGAGTATCATCCCCGGGGAAATGATGCCCTAAATGGCTTGACAACACTTCTTGCAGGTACTTCACTTATGTGACCTATTTTGATTCTTCGTTTTATGTATTGAAGTTCTATCTCAATGTCTCCCCTCAAACAGTCAAATATTATAGGGGGTGGTAGGCTGCATGCAGTCATGGGACCTAGGCATCAAGTCTTTGATTCTAGGCTCATATTTTTATCCAACCAATTAGCCCTTGATAGGTGATGTTGACAGTGTTACATCGGCCACCTTTACTTCCCAGGACATTGCCCGGCATCCATTTCAGCTGGCTGACCTGGGAGCCGAGGTTATAGTTTTCCAAATCCGCTCATTATGAAATAATAACACCACTTCAGGCTTGCATTCAGGCAAGGCTTGCCTGTCTCTCTCTCTCTGCTGTATCTCTCTCTTTCCCCCCTCTCTCCCCCTTCCTCCCCCTCTCAGTTATGTGACGTTCCGGGTCGTGGGTTCTCTGGATTTGGGTTTAAATGATTTATATGTTGAGTAGGGATTTGCCTCTCAACACATCCCCTCCACCAGATTAACTGAACTATTATCTGGGCTATGTTGCTCTCAGACAAAGTCCTGGATATCTAAGAAAACAGCCATATTGGCTCGTTATTTATATTAACTTTAGCTGAACTTGGTACCCACAAGAGAAGGAAATGGGTTTTAGATGTCTATATATTATTATTTTGAATTATTTGCTAGACAGGGCAGTTGACCCAATCCGTCGACCTTCTCTTGGTACAGAATTATTATTATTATTTAATGAGCCCCCACCAAATGCTATTCTATCTTAACATTTTAATTAAACATGTAAGAACAGACACACTTGGAATTATAAAAACTGATGCAGGATAAGACCATATAATTGATTTATTAACCTAGCAATCATTTTAGTTCTTTATATTTTTAGTCAATAGTGATGGTATGGTGGTAATGGGATACTTCAGCTTGATAACTGAGCCCCTAAGATAAGAATAAATGATAATGGTGGTGTTTCGTTACATAAATACATGTTACATAACTTTTTAGAAAGTGGAACCTCTGAGAGTCCTCGTGTTGAGTCCCTTCTTAGCTGTTCCAATCTTTCCGCCCAGTTCTCCTGGTCCTTCCACCTGGTTCCCTGGTTCCCAGCTGGCCGAGTTCTAACACAATGTAGTCTCGTGACCGTGATGACCCTCTATTTCTGTTCTTAGAAAAGACTGATCCTCACCCACATGGGAGCTGCAATAATGGAAACAAACACATACGTGTAGTATCTTGACTTACACTAAGAATACATGGTCAATTAATACACTATATAATAATACATTATATCTCATCACTCCTCCTCATATTCCACATTCTCTCCAGTCTGTTCTGAAGGTCTTTGTGTCTCACACCGTCGTTCAACATATCCTGCCTTCCCTCTAATGTCTGTCATGATAGTTGACTTTCTGTTGTCCGTCATCACTCAGACTTCCAACTTGCTGACATTGATTTGACATAAACATGTGGCGCAGGTTATGTGCTGAACACGCAAAACATTTTATACGTGCATGCTGTCCTGAATATTATCTTTCAGTGACAGTGAATAATATACACCCATGATTCTTCCCCTGGGGTTATAAATCCCCTGTTTAGGTGAACACATTAAGTGAGCACATGGTGGGCATACAAAATGTAACAGCATGGCTGCATATGTGGGCATCATTTCCCACAGTCCAAACTCAGGTTTTGGTTGATGGTTGAAACATTATAGTTTCATTACATTTCAGTATTCAAGTCTTTTTTTATATAAACATGAAAACATACACTGAAAAACATGTGGCACAAACATACAAGAAATAGAAATAGTTTAGCAGTTCCCTAACTGAGATACTGAATACTCACAAAGAACTATTTCAAGCAGAATGTGTAGAACAATTAGGAAAAGGTAGAATAGACTTTAGCTAACTCCCTAACCTATGTATACAAGATTGAAAATAATTGTACAAGCTTACCTGGGATATTCCAGCAATCGCCAAACCAGAATCAACAATTAGAATTACCTCTAATTTGCGACCTGAGTTTGTTGCTCATGGCAGCGGTGATGACGGGAATTCCACAGGCTAGTATTATTAATACCCCTATCTGTCTGCAAGGTTAAACTCCTCCCTTTACTAGGTTCTACCCAACCCTCCAGGAGATGACCTAAGCCCCGCCTCTGAGGTACCTAGCAGATCAACCTAGCTATCAATGGGCCTGTCACTCACAGTGAACGGCCTACAGTACGACCTTGACCAAGATTAGACATTCCTAATTGCCAAACATCTGTTCTCTTGAGAATTTCACTATCATGTGTGAAACTTCAGACGCTGGACGCCATCCTGTCTAGAAATGTCTACCGGACCCCTAATTCCCCTGATCTAGCCTGTTCAAAGGCCCCACTCAGTCTGTGTTATGTAACTTTTATGACACTACAGTCGAGTTCAGGGGAGCTAATCTCAGGTGTGACACTAAGTTATTTCCCCCTTCCTCGCCTCTACAGTCTGGTCAGGAGATAACATTTATGACATTCACAGAGAAAGGAATTCCTAGCCAAGGTAATATTACCTAAGCCAAGGTTGCTTTGTCTGGCTACAGATTGGAAACGCAGTTTAAACAATTGTCAAATCCATTGTGGTGGATTTAGAAATATTTTGGGCTTAGTGTCTATTGCTTATAATTCTTTGTCCTTCTCTGAACATAAGAAATTATTAAACACAATATAACTTCTGAGACCACTGAGGTCATTTCGTCACAAGTCAAACCATGTTTTTTCCTAGCTACTCTCTCTCCATCTTATTTGTCTATTTCTTTTCTGTCTACTGTCTCTGTATGCATCACAGTTAAATGATCTTTTGTCTCTCTCTCTCTCTCTCTCTCTCTCTCTCTCTCTCTCTCTCTCTCTCTCTCTCTCTCTCTCTCTCTCTCTCTCTCTCTCTCTCTCTCTCTCTCTCTCTCTCTCTCTCTCTCTCTCACTCCTGTAATTCCATTGTAGTTGAATGTTCACTTTTTAAAAAAAATTTGTCTTCATGTCTTCTCTATTTCTCCATATATGTTGAAACATCTGAATTCATCTGTCCTCCCCCCCCCCCCCCCCATTTCTTTACCGATACACCCCCCCCCCCCCCCCCATATCTTTGTCTGTCTGACCCAGTTAAATGATCACTATTTTTATATTTGTTCAGTTGCTTTGAGAAAGTACCATGACATCAATGGCTTCCTGCCCCAGAAGTTGGTCTTCTACAGAGACGGTGTCGGTGATGGTCAGCTGGAGTTTGTCTACAAGCATGAAGTGGAGCAGGTATTTGCAGCATTCACCTCTGTCGGCGGGGAAGGCTACAAGTAAGTTTAACAATCATATTTCCTCTATATGTTCCAGGGCCCTATTGTGAGGCAAAAAGAATAGGCCCACTGCCACCCAGCAAGCTTGCCATGACAGGTGACTAGTTAGGGGTTTTTACTTGAAGCCAGAGTGATTCTGCCTGAGGCAAGGCATCAGCAGCAAGATCTGTAAAAGCTCGAGTTCTAGAAGCCCAGAAGTGGACAACAACCACAACTTGCCGCTGAAGTTTACAGCCAGTAAACGCCAAAAACAGTCAACACGTTGAACACGAAGAAGAACAAAACGTTGAACGCCAAGATAACATTGACCGCTAAGTTAGGCTCCACAACATTCCAGAGTGAATGACCAGCAAGGACTTTCCACCCCAATTTTACAGCCTGTATATGTGAAAGAGAAGAAGAATATAGGCCCAGATACTTGATTATCATTTGCTTGTGATAATAATCTTTTTTCCAACATCTCTGATAAAGACTTTCCGGCATTCACAACATTGAGACGAAGTGTTTAATTGATCTTCGCTGCTAGGTCAGCTCGGTCCAAAATGGATGCCAAGAAATGTCCTGGGGAGTGCAAAGATTGTCTCTATAATGTTGGCCACATCACTCGTCAGCTGCTGATTAATCTGTTAATAATACGTGTCCAACACACCATATGCCTAATGCATGAGTGATATGAAAATGGTACTTGTTTTACCAGCTTGTTCTTCTTCTTTCGTCTTTACGTCCTCTTTCACAGCTTCGGATGCCAAGTGAGATATAGGGTGCTCTTCTGGCTGCTTCGACCATAGACACACTGAGGTGCTGTAGAGTTTCTCTGATGTTATCTTCCCATCTTGTTCTTGGTCTGCCTCTTGCTGTACATCTTTCTCCTCTTTTGCTATATGCCTTGTATGGTATAGCTTTAGAAGGCATTCTCTTTAGGCGGGCAAACCATTTGATTTGCTGTCTTTCTATGTAATTTAGAATTGGTTCTGTGCTGACTTTATCTCAAATGACTTCATTTCTAATTTTATCTCTTCTGGTCACTCCTGCAGTCTTATCTCAGTCACCTCATTTCCATGGTTACTAATTTGTTATGTTTTGTTTTGAGCGACCACATCTGTCACTGATAGCATAGGGTCATAATGAATATGCTTTGTTTGAGATGTTTTATTTTGTGCTGACTGGGATTGCCTTATGCTGTAAGAGGGGAGCTAGCTGTCCCAATACTTGGCCTGCTTTACATCCAAGCACTGATGGTAGTATTGTTGGCACCTTTCCCTCTTTCCAGACAATAGTGTTATACTGTGCTTTGAGAAGCAAGACCTACTTGCGTCAAGAAAAGTCTTCCACAATTATAGCATGGGATTTCAGGACTTGTTGCCATCATTTGTGTTTAAAAGTTACTTCTTAGACGCTCAGCTCTCTCATCCTTTCTGCAAACATTCTCAAACAGTGCAAGGCATTTTGTTCTCATGAGTCAGCCCCAAGACATGTATCATTCATGTTCTGCTTGCTTATATCATATTAGAGGTCGGCCTCGACATAAACACTAACTATTAACTCATTCAGTTGGTCCTACTTTCTTCATGTTTACCGGCGGGTAGAATGCTAGTCTTTATATTGTTCTAGTACTATCATTGAATATACAGGGACCAAATTGTTGAAAATGGGGATTCTCTCTCATTCGTTAAAGACCTGAGCCTCAGTGTAGATAGATGATCATTACAGTACAGCTGGCTGTTCTTTTGCCATTCACTTGAAATAGATTATCTATATCTGCAATGCTGTCTTTAGTATGAACTTCACTGAACAACTGGCAATGATCCGCTGGATCCTTTGCTAAGCTTCTGTGAGCTACATTCAGCCTACGGTCCAAGTTGCATAGCCCTCCCAAACTAGTTTCTTTTTCATTATTCATTTTTTTTAGATTATCTTCATTGCACATGACTATATGTGCTCCAATCTCCTCCTGAATATGTTTCTAAGTGTTTTTAGGCCAACAACTCCTATTCTGTTCTGGCTGATGTAACGACAGGTAGATAGATCCTGCATGGTTGTTCTGTCTTACCGCTCTAATTGGTATACCCTGTGTATGCAGTCTATTCTGGCTCCTGAACTTGGGAACCAACAGTCCGCAAACAGATAAGTCAAATTTCTAATGAATGTGCACACAAAACTAAAGTTCTAGAACAAAACAAAACAAAAGTCCAGAAGTGGGCGAGCAGCCAGAACATGCATCTGGAGTATACATCCGGGGAATGTGAAGAAAGAAGAAGCACCTACTGAATCAGTTAATAGTTAAGTGTTTACTGAAGTCTTCCACAACTCAACCATGAAACCAGCACTGTATTGAGAGAAACTACAGAACAAACAACTTCACCATTTAAACAGGCTGAAAGTTTGTCCCCATTTCAGTTTTGTTTGTTTTGTATTTTTTTTTCTAACTTTTTTTCTAAAAGGTATAATTTTATTCTAATTTTTGTTCTCTCTAGACCCAACATGGCTTTTATCATTGTGAAGAAACGGATCAACACACGTCTCTTTTCCGTTGACCGTAACCAGATAGGCAACCCATTGCCTGGAACCCTTGTTGATTCACATATCACAAAACCTGATTGGTGAGTATGCGTTTTCTGTCACAGATAATAAAGTTATAATCCACCAGGTCTTTGTTGGTCCTACCACAAAATAATTTGGGGAGAACAGGAGCTGGCCTCGGACACTTTAGTTTTAGCAGTAATATTTAGAACTGAGGTAAAATCAGAAATGAGGTCGTGAACGAAAGTAGGCACAGAACCAGTTTAAAATTACACACAAAGACAGGAAATAAAATGGTTGACCCACTTAGAGAGAATGCTCTGTGAAACCGTAGCATACAAGGCAAATTCTAAAAAGGAAGAAGGGCTAGACCATGAGGTAGTTAAAGAACAAGATGGAAAGATAACATCAACAACTCTGCAACAACACACTGTTTTTTAGTCGAGGGGGGAGGAACTGAGACAGACCAAGTGAGACCTTGTTACAGAATGACTGACTCGACAAGCAGCCATGAAGTACATTGCATCTGACCGTCAAAGGTGGAAGGAGCTGATTAGGCAGTCAACAGCGAATGATGACCCAATGTGACACAGTGTTATGGGACAGTAATGTTGATGACGAAGAAGATGAAAACACAGAATAGACACTTTGATCAGGCATTGTTTTCCTTCTGTGATTGTGAGTCAAAGATTTCATGTGTTTTTATTTTTGTTTGACTTTCACCACAGGTATGACTTCTTTTTGGTGAGCCAATCAGTGAGGCAGGGAACTGTGTCTCCAACCAGTTACAATGTCATTTATGACAAAACTGGTTTTCAAGCGGATCACATGCAGCGTCTTACCTACAAGCTGACTCATATGTATTTCAACTGGCAGGTACGAGGCATTTATTTATTGATGAAAACAGTATTGTTGTCCACTTATTCTCATCCTTTTACAGCGTTACTTCCCCATATGATTCCCAGGGTCTAGTCTGGGTGTGGTGGGGGAATAGACCTAAAGACTGTAACAAACATATCATAGGAGATGAATTATGGGGAAGTTTCCTTTAAAAGAGTGCATCTTCCTGAGACGCCGGGAACCAACAGTCTGCATACAAATAAGGCAGATCTGAAATATGGATGTACACGCAAAACAGTTCTGACAGAAGACCAGGGTTGAGAAATGGACAAACAACCAGAACTTTCCGCTGAAGTTTACCCACTTTGAATGTTAGTTTTTATATTGTTATTTAGTCACTACTGTTCATTTTCTTCATGTTACATGATCACCACTGTTGGCTTTAATAATGTTATTTAATCACTACCATAAACTTAAATAATGTCTTTTAATCATCACTGTTATCTTTAATAAAGTTAAATTTATCACATCTGTTAGCTTTTTTAATGTTATTTAATAACCACTTTGAGCTTTAATAATTCTATTTAATCGTCTCTGTTAGCTTTATTTATGTTTTCTAATTACCACTTAACTTTATTGCTATTTAATCACCACCAGTATCTCAAAATTGTTATATAATTACCATCGTTAGCTTTAATAATCTTTTAAAATTGTAATAATGTTACTTAATCACCACTGTTAGCGTTAATAATATTACCTTATCACCATGTTTGTGTATTTACGATTTTTTCTTAGGGCACCATCCGAGTTCCCGCCCCGTGCCAGTATGCGCACAAGTTAGCCTTTCTCCAGGGGCAGAGTCTTCACAGACAGTTCTCAGCGCTGTTGGCAGACAAGCTGTTTTATCTTTAGCCGAGCCTTTGTCATCATTATGTAATCATTCCAAATGTTCTCGACAGACCTGTTCAGTCATGGAGTCCTGCTGTCACTCAGGCAGAGTAATTAGTGAGATTACTTTGGTTTTTTCATGCCTTGACTTAAATTTGTTCAAAAAACCAGTCATCCGTTAACAGTTTTTACTTTTGTGTTTTAAAAAGGCGGATTAAAAGTTTCTATGTTTGTTGTTTTAGAGTACCCTTCTTCGTATTACATAATTATGAACTAAAAACACAGCAACAGTAACTGCAGAGTTGGATAAACAACTTTTGTGGAAATTACAGTTGATAAATTCCAGTAGATCAAGAGCGAGCGAGCAAACTTTATTTTCAAAGGGTTACAAATTGGGCACGCAGGCCCGTCTGACATTTGGCCCTTCTAAGCACTCATTTTTCAGAGTACCAATGCATGTTATGGATATAATAATGAAAAATAAATTATAGAATAATGCATACACACATCATGTGTACACAATCGCACACACTCACACACACAAGTATACATGCTCCTACGTTCTCAGACATGCACACTCATATAGACATACGTTATACATACACACGGATCTACATACACACACAAACATAAAACACATACACATACATAGACATAAATGCACAAACAGAAAACACACACACATACATTTATGGAAGAAGGAGAAGAAGAAGAAGAAGAAAAAGGAGATGCACATACATAGACATAAATACACAAGAAGGAAAGTTAGAACAGTGGGCTAAATAGCCTACATATTGAGATGTTATCAATGTTCAGTGATATAGCTAGAAATGTTGTTAAATAATATAGATAAAAAGTTCTTTCTCCTGAACCCCTGGAGCAGAAATAAAATAATAGAGTGAGAGAAAGGATCTAGTTATATCATTTGGAGGAGAAGGCTGTAGGAGGTTAAGATGGGAAAAAGATAGGATGATATTAGTTATCTAAGGGCCCTGTCCTTATTATTGGTTAAAAGGCATGTGAAGATAATCATTCTGTACACTGCACAGGTGCACCACATACTCGGTCGAAAACATACGCCACACAAGTGGTCAGTCCAGCCAGTAACGGCAGTTTTTTCCCCACTTTGGGACATTTTGAATTTACTGTGAGGCTAAACTTCATGTCCATTCATTTTGGACCAGGTAATGGCTAGAGAAAGCATTTTACAGATTTCGTACTGGCGTAAGCACAAGCCAGTCTGCAAAAGGGTTGTAATGAGCGTATGTATCTTTTGATATCTGAGAACGAGCGAGCACCAAATTTGTTGTTGGACAGAATTAATGCCTCCAAAATGTAGATTTGTATATTTCGTGTAGCAGGTCTTTTACAGAACATTAAAAGTCATTTTCAAGCTCCCCCTGACACAAGTTTTGTCAGGCAGCAGTCTCTTAAATAATTCACCTTCATCTGCATTATTAAACACATCAGGGGGAAATATCCCTTCTTATGGCTGCTTCTAGCACCTTCTCCGTCCATGACTACTAGTCGTTTCATTAACAGATTGTCTTTCCACACACAAAGCTTTGTAAGTAATGTTTTGCCGTTATATAAAATGACCCAGCAAGGCAGGACTCCATTTCCAGCCAGTTCAACCTTCCAGACGTGCTAACTCTTCTGCCTCTGCAGAAGTAAACCATTTGAGAAGTACCGTGCTAACCACATGAGGGAGCTGCCGCACCTAGCGGCTAGACGCTTGCCAGCGGATTGGAAGGTTGTGGGTTCGGGTTCTGACCAAGCCAGACTTTTTTTTGAGCAAATGACCTTGGCTTCCAGGTCTACCCAGCCATGCGTGGGCACCAGGTCTACCCAGCCATGAGTGGGTACCAGGTCTACCCTGCCGTGCGTGGGCACCAGGTCTACCCAGCCATGAGTGGGCACCAGGTCTACCCAGCCGTGCGTGGGCACCAGGTCTACCCAGCCATGAGTGGGCACCAGGTCTACCCAGCCATGAGTAGGCACCAGGTCTACCCAGCCATGAGTGGGCACCAGGTCTACCCAGCCATGAGTGGGCACCAGGTCTACCCAGCCATAAGTGGGCACTAGGTCTACCCAGCCATGAGTGGGCACCAGGTCTACCCAGCCATGAGTGGGCACCAGGTCTACCCAGCCATGAGTAGGCACCAGGTCTACCGAGCCATGAGTGAGCACTAGGTCTACCCGGCCATGAGTGGGTACCAGGTCTACCCAGCCATGTTGTTGTTGTTATCGATCCAGCGGCACATGAGCTTTCGCCCTTGGCCCAATGCCATGTAGTGGAATTTGCATGTTTTCACAAGCTGTTCTTTTCCTCCGTACAAGGTGTTCCACTTGTCTCGTCTCGGAGGGAGTAGCGTTCTTCTTGTCTCACTGAGTTCTGGGCACTCAAAGAGATGGTGTTCAACAGTTTCGTAGGGGTAGTTACATAGCTGGTACTCTGGGGAGTGTTGTGGCTGTATTTTGTTTAGGTGTCCATTGAGTGGAGTATGTTGCGTTCTAAGTCTGAAGATGGTGGCCTGGTCCCTTCTTGTTAGATGGTTAATGCTGTCATTAGGATCAGGGCCAGACATATGTCTATAAACCTCTCTTCCAGTGTCTCCCATGGCCCATCTGTTCAACCAAGTCTCTTTGTTTATAGCTCTTATCAGTGTTTTTGCTGTCTGGAGGGTTGTCGTTGTAGGTGGTTGTTCTTGTGTTGCTCCTTTCTTTGCCAATCTGTCAGCTCTATCATTACCTGGTGTGCCGGAGTGACCTGGAATCGACTGCATCACTATTCTGATGTTGTATGAGGTAATAAGCTGATCAGCATCCAGGATTATCTTGGCTATATCAGTTCTGCAGCGTTCACTGCCCTCCAGAGCTTGAAGGGCAGACATTGAATCTGTGAAGATGACATAATTTTGGACCTTTGAAGGGTAAACATCCATTACAGTCTTTAGGTGGTATACTGCTGTTTCCAGTGCAATTATTTCAGCTTCATAGTTTAAACAGAATTCCCCGCATGCATCAAAAATCTCTTCAACAGATCCATCAGGATAACCTATGTAGATTCCGTAACCTGCTTTAATGGTAGCTTTAAATGCTGATCCATCAGTATAGACATGTTGTACTCTATCACAGAGCGAACATATCCTAGATATAAGCCCCTCAGAGTTTCCTTGTCTGATCCCCATGATGTACCTGCAAGTCTCTTTAATAACTGTAACCGCCTCAATGCCTTATTCCTGATGTTTTCAATATGGTTCTTGAGGCTGAGCTGCCGGTCAAATGTGACTCCAAGGTATGTGGGATGCTCTTCTTTCATCACTTGGTGTTTGTCTAACCTCAGGTTAATATTCTTCCTTGCTACTTGGTGGCTTTTGGTAAAGATTGTGTAGACCATCTTTGCACAGTTAATCTTGAGTTTCCATCTTTGGCAGTAATCATGCAGTCTTCTAAGGTCTCCATTCAGTCTTTGGGCTCCACTTTCCACATTTTCATGACTCTGCCATATTGCTAGGTCATCAGCGTACAAGGCTTTTTCGGCTTTGATTTGTTCTGGCAGGTCATTGATAAAGATTAGGAATAGTGTACAGCTCAATGATGAGCCTTGTGGCAAGCCCTCCTCCAAGACTTCTTTAGAAGAGATTGCGTTGTGCATCTTAGTCTGGATTGTTCTACCTATCAGGAAGTATTTCACCCAGTTATACAATCTGCCATGTATTCCTATGCTCATCATCTTCATCAGGAGACCTTTTCTCCATACTCTGTCATAGGCCTGCTGGAGGTCGACAAAGACTGCCACTGTGTGTTTCTTATTCTGGAAGCCATCATGTATTCTTTGTGTCAGTCTGAACAGCTGGTCTTCTGTACAGTTGTTGGTTCTGAAGCCTGCCTGTTCATGGCATAGAACACCAGAACTCTCAAGGAACTAATATAAGCGCCTGTTTATCATTCTTTCTGCAACTTTGCCCAAGCATGATGTTAAGGATATTGGGCGGTAGCTTTTGGGGTCATCTGGAGGCTTTTTGGTTTTAAGAACGGGAACGATATATGCATTCCTCCATGCCTTTGGAAGTTTGCTTGACCTCCAAGTTTTATTAATAAGCCTAAGAACTACTTCTCTCCCAGACCGGCCAAGATGTAGCAGCATTTCGTTGTGGATCTTATCTGGGCCTGGAGATTTTCTAGGTTTTAATTTCTTCAGGGCTTGTTCTAATTCATCCATGCTAAATTTATTTTCAAAAAGGGAGTCGCTGGCTGTTGGAGCTCTCTCTTGTTTCTTTAACTGAGAGAGCTGTGTTCTATTGAGTTCTGACAGCTTACCTGCTCTGTTAACTGAGGCAAAATAATGATTGAAATGTTCTGCTTTATTCTTGTCCTCAGTGATTGTCTTACTCCCATCTGTCACTGGTTTTGGGTTCACCCTTCTACTTTCTCCGGAGAGGTTTTTAACTAAAGTCCATGCTTTATTTCCATTCTGTCTAAGGTCTAAGTTGGAGCAAGTTTCTGTCCATTTATCTCTTTTAGCCTTATTAACTACAAGCTTTACTCTGGCACATGCTTTATTGTATTGGATCTTTGCTTCTGTTGAACGTGCAGTTTCGAGCAATATTCTTGCTTTATTCCTTTCAGATTTAGTAATTTGAATTTCTTTATTCCAAAAAGGTTTATATGCCTTCCAGCTGCCCCTTGGGATGGCTTTTGACGCTGCATTCAGGATTGCTTGTGTAATGTCTTCACAAAAAGTTTCCACACAGCTGTTGTCAATTCTTCCCAGGAGGCAGTCAGATGTTTCCTGAAATAGTTTCCAGTTTGCTTTTCGGAAATTCCAACGGGTTCTCTGCTTGAAGCGTAATTTAGCAGTGGTGCTTACAGTTGTGAGTATAGGTTTGTGGTCACTTCCTATGTCGTCCAGCACTTGGGGATAGCTTGCGTCTGTGTAACAGTGTAGGTGTAGACTCTGTGTCCTGCAGCACTAATAGGTTAGTTGTTTCACAATATCTTCGATGTATTTCCCTGTGCTA